GGCGCGCGGCGGTCTACGAGTGCGGCGCGTCATCGGAGTCGGCTTTAGGCCTAACTCCGCTGACAGCGAGACTGCGGGCAGGAACGACGCGCAAGCGCAGTCTTGGTGACGTGCTTCTTCGCAAGGAATGTACCACATCACTCGCTAGCTCCTCCGAATAGTGTACGGGCATTTTACGCATCGGCAGCGGACAACACAGTCAAGCTCGTCACCCCCCCCCCCCCCCCCTTCACTGCCAAGGATCGCTCGGAACAGCGGCTAGCAGTTTCGCGCGTCGTCATTCGAAAATGCGATGCCAAGTGCAGTGCGTGCCGATTTTTTGTCTTCGTAGTTACTCATTTCGCGGATCGTCATCGAACGCCGCCGGCAAGTGCATTACGCGCCGGCTGCACTGTCCACGCGGCCGCGCACCCCACGGTCATATGGAGTGCCGTCAGTAAGCTTTTGTGATGCGATTCAGACGTGCTTGGAGCCGTGCTTGATATCTCCACGAACGTCTATGAATGTTCCGAGGTTAATGAATTGCTGTAGATTAGAATTTCCGCGACCGGCTGTATGATGATGCGTTTCACGGCTAGAGCGGCGAAAGAGCATGTGTGAATCAGGGGCACGAATTTTTATATGCCCGTTTCGTGTCATTAATTATACTGCTAGAAATTCCCGTGCCACCAGTCTTCTGCCCATAACTTTGTTATTTGGAAAGAAGGCATAGGCCGTCATGGTGTGATCCATTTTTCTGATGCAATAAACTTCTCTCCAAATAAAAAAAAAGTTCAGTGAATATTTCTAATCAAGTACTTAATTACGCTAATTACAACTTCAGCACAAAAAAGTATGTTTAATAATTTCAGTATATGGTTTTATTCAATTACAATCTTTTCTGTCATACTTATCACACCACTCCTTCATACAAAGAACTTGGTTTGAAATTCATACTTGTTCTTTGTAACTCATGAAAAGGAGTAAATCATGAAAAGAAGTCAAATATCGCAAGACAAACCTGAGATCACAATTTTTAGGTGTCTTAGAGACGTAAAGAAAAGTTGAAACTTTAAACGCAGCTTTCTCAACACTGTTTTTTTTTTTTTTTGACATTATGCTCAGCCCCTCCACATGGTTCAGTGAAGAAATAATTTGTTTCTCGTAAAGTATTTGTGGTATCGCTTCAAAATTTTTATGAAAGCACTGTGAGGTTATTCTTAGTGTCTGTGCCAATTTTCATCAATATCCAACGAGAAACAAAAAAGTTCATTGAAAAAAAGCCTGTCGAAAACTTCGACAGGCTTTTTCTCACAAGTTTGTTTTGGACATTGTGCATTGCTCGTGGAAAGAGTAGCACGAGAATGACTGGACCGATTTTGATTCTGTTTTTTTTCCCTGAATCCCTGAATACTGCTTGTGGGTACAGCAATCTTCAATTTCTGTTTTGTGGCCCTGTTATTTTTCTAGACGATGATTTGTCCGTGCCATTGTTTCTGACAATGTGTGTCGGCAGCCATGATGATCTCTAAAAAAAAACGAGAACTTATTAAAAAATTCCAAGAGTGTCATACCCTGTAGCTTTCTTTTGAGTAAAGATCAACATCATTCGCAGCTTCCTGGCATGTTTTGTTGCAGCGCTAGGCTTTCCACGAGCAGACCATGTAATTGGATCGTGTAGCATTATGTAACTTGAGAACTACTGAAGCTATCGTGATGAAACTGCATATTTCCCTATTCTAGACACTTATGAGTATGCATGCCAAATTTCATTGCTGTAGGTCAACAAATAAAAAAGTTTTTTTTTCAAAGCCACCTCCCCCCTTAAATAACCATAAAGCGCCCCATGCACGTAGTCCGAGGTGACAACGAGTGAAGGTAGAACTCTTCTAAGCCTCAGCTGAATAACTGCACGTAGAAACAAGTCTCCTGTGTCTCGCAGAAACATTAAACGACTAACAACCCGTCTTAAAAACAAATTAGACAGACTGGGATAATCGAACGGAATACGACGAAAAAGATTAGTGCGACTAGACCGTTCCCACACTGATTCCCATTTAAATACTGCAAACACACGGTGCAGTTTCTGCACGTTTTTATGGGAGCAATGCAAAACCTGTCGTGCGTACCAGAGTTAAGAAACAAAAGATTACTTATGGTGGCCTGCATGAAAATCGAGGTCTTATCCTCTAACTTTATCCACTTTTTTCACGAATTTAAGTGACATGCCGTTGCCAATACGGCTCACTGTCACGATAAAATTCTAGTGGTACTCCAAAATATTTCACAGGATGATTCACCCATGGCATGTTGGCAAAAACTTCTGCAGTGGAAGGCCAGTCCCTCCTGCCAATATCCCAAGCATCTTTTCCAGTTTACCGAACTCTCACTGGCTATACAAAACTTTTTTGCAGTATGGACTATTTCGTTAACACTGTCACGATCTGAACAGAGAACTGTAACATCATCATCATATGCATGTAATTTTACTTAATTCTCATGCAGTTTGAATCCACGGACAGCACTGCTGTTAATCACACTCACACAGAAAGACTCTAAAAACAGACTGAACAGCAATGGTTAAAGAGGGCAGCCCTGATGCACGGAGCATTGCAAGTTAATGCGTGCCTCCATGAACTTATTAACAATAAGTCACATTGTACAGTTTTTATGTACCATATCCACCCCCTCCTTGATAATGCAGCCTATTTTTACAAAATATATGACACTCATCGGAAGATCTTGTGAGACAAGATCAAAAGCTTTCGCAAAATCCTACTGAAGCATTGCTACACATGTGTCAGTCGCATTGCAGCACTCCAGAACAGCTCTGGACTGAGCCCCACCAGTGCTTGGAACTTGTTTGCAAATTTGCCTTACGCAGGCTTGATGTTGGGAAAGAAATCCAGTTAATATGAGTAATAAAGTGTTTTAGAACAGAAAAGGAACAACCAGGCATCACACAATGCAAATTGCATAACGAGTGAGTCATCCAATACTCTAACCCTTTACAAAAGCTTGTTGTTGATCACATATTAACTGTGGCACATACCCACTTCAAGCCCAATTCATTGTTGACAGTCACTACATAAAAAATTTGCATAAAATTTCTTCCAAGTGTGTAGCCGATACCACGCTTCTCCGAAGAATGACGAAGGATAGCACACTGAATGCTGGCCTACCGCACAGAAATTATGATTATTTATGGCGTAGTGGGTACCCAGAAAGTGTGCTTGTAGCTCTTTCCACAAAAGGCTCTGAAAGGCTGCTCTTCCAACTTTCACTGTGACTGTGCTGCACGTTCTGCGCAGGCCTGGCGGTTTTTAATCCCCATTTCATGTCACAAATTGGCATCACTTGTAGCTAGGTACGTTTTTTTTTTTTTCAATTTATGCACCTTGAGGAATGTGCAAGGGTGTAATCAATGAGATACGGATACAGCACAAAAAAAGAAGAAAAGAGAAAAAAAGCTTTCGTGATGTTTACAGATGCCTAATCACATTCACTCAAAAAGACGGTAGGCGAGTGGTGGGGATACCATTACTAGGGTTCTGCGAATATTTGAATACTGAATCAAATAGCATTCCATTCAATTTGCTAGTCGAACTGATCGGCGCATATACGAAATACCGAATATTCTAAAAATAATCTACCCCTATGGGACAACCCTGAAGCAGCAAAACATGGGATCAGCTGAAGGTTTATTTTCTTCTTGTAATCCCTGAATTACCACTATAAATGGAAAGCCTGCGCCTTTCCACGCATTACCCTTGCAGCCACAGTTGCTTACAACTTCTCCATGCTTGGAGAACACAAGTCTTGCAGTAACATCCGCATAATTCCCCCTTTAATTTTGCTAGATTTTGTGTCAGACACAAAACAAAACATACATACTTTGCTTTAAAGGTGACTACATACGTGAAAAATAGGACGTTTCGACATGCCCCGTAGCGCTGTTTCTGCCCCATGCAGCTTCCATCGAAAGCTTGCGCCGAGCCGTGTAGCACCGTCACAACTCTATTCTTGTAAAGCTCCATTAGGGAGTTGAATGCTGAGCGGAAGAAAAGGGAGTTCTGTGGTGGCCGTGTGAGAGGTATTAGTTAGCGAACAGGCGTGTGTGGCTAAACTGCGTGGCGTCATTAATTTTGTTTGCCAGTATAGCCGCGATGTAGTTCAAGATTTAGAGGCAGAAATGTTCTATAAGCCACTGGCTGATTTCTACGCTGCTTGAATTAGGTTGTGCATGAACTGTCACTGCACAACCACAACATACTCCGCCAAGCTGTCCTTGGAAGGTTGCGAGATTGTCAGTAGCACCGTTGGGCAAAGAAGTGATGCTGGCAAGTTAGCCGAGAGGTTACACTACCAGTACCCGAGATGCAGGTCAGAGGTTCGAATCCTGTTGAAAATACAATCCATAATCTCATTCAGCTCACGTTGGCCGCGAGCTCTCTTGTAAAAACTAGATCATATTTGTAAAAGGGGGATACATAGAAACACTTTGGAAGCCTACATTCCTTTTCGTTACTCTTGTCGAAGGGCACTGATCTTTTGTCCTTAGAAGCAGTGGCCTGGAAAGTTTTGGGGCGCTCCATTGCCGCTTGTTATGTAAATAAACTTGCATACGCGAGTATCAATAAAGGTAAGACATGCGGAGGTTGTGATAGTCTGAACAAGACACGCCACAGCTTTCGAAGCACTACACCAGCGAAAATTCAATATCAAGGGCTGCCACCATTTTCCATTCTTCAGGCAAGTTTTCAAGGCTTCATTGATTGAATGATTTGTGGGGTTTAACGTCCCAAAACCACCATTTGATTATGAGAGACGCCGTAGTGGAGGGCACCGGAAATTTGGACCACCTTGGGTTCTTTAACGTGCACCAAAATCTGAGTACACAGGCCTACAACATTTTCGCCTCCATCGGAAATGCAGCCGCCACAGCCAAGATTTGATCCCGCGACCGAGTACCTTAGCCACTAGACCACCATGGCGGGGCAGTGTTTTCAAGGCTTTACTGGGTGACTGGTCGAACCAGTTAATCATTTCAAACAACACTTTCCTTTAAACGATAACCATATAAAATGTCAAGAGCAAGACCATGACAAAATAGCAGATACAAGATTGTCATTTTTGTAATTGCAAATAACTATTTTTATTTTGAGAAGTGATGTTTTCGATAATGGATATATTACGTACATTGAAGTAACGGTGGCTACCTTGCCACTTTTTGGGAGGCATTGAATGAAGTGGAAGAAGAGGCAGTTAAAGTCTCATATAACAACACATTAAATCTACCAAGAGGTACATCACTCTCTAGTTAAGGCTTGCACAGCAGTAAATTGGCTCGAAAGCAGAGCAAACAAGCTTATTAAGTAGTTCCAATTTGACGCACTTGCTTCATCACAACTTGCAGCAGGTCGTCGACGTAAGCGACATCGTTCAAGTCACGACGTAAGCCGGGCTCCAGGCTGAGCTCATAGCCAGGACCGTACATCATTAAAAAGTGATGCTCAGGAATGTCTTCCTCCAGATCCTGCCCTAAAAGTGCCGCTGTAATTGTCGTCCAGCAGCGAGCAGCATTGGCAGCCACGTAGCCTCCTCCACCGAGAAGTAGCAGCGGCAGCCCCCAGCTTTGCACAAGACGAACGCACTGCACGAATGCACCTGGGGTCAGATTCCATGCTCCGAGAGGATCACCGGACAATCCATCCGCTCCGCACTGGCAAACGACAGCGTCGGGTTTGTACCGCTTTCTGACTTCATCGACAACGGTCGTTACCACGCGCACAAATGTGGAATCGCTAGCACCACTCCGAAGCGGCAAGTTTATCGAGTAACCACGGCCCAAACCAAAGCCTACGTCGCTCGCTGCCCCAGTACCAGGGTAGAAACCAGGCTCGTACTGATGAACCGACACGGTCAGGACTTTGTCAGTGCCCGCGAAGGCTTCTTCAACACCGTCGCCGTGATGAACGTCCAGGTCGATATACAAAACTCGCCGAAACGTGCGGCGAAGTTCCAGTATCCCAAGGACGACGTCATTGACGTAGCAGAACCCTGCTGCTTCGCTTCTGTGTGCGTGGTGCCAACCACCCTCCCAATGTATAGCGATGTCGCAAGTTTTCTCCATAATGGCTCTCGCAGCAGCTAAAGTGCCACCTGCGATGTGCCCCACTAAAGTAAGAAGCCGTTTGGTAGGGGCACAGTCATCGACAAGGTTGTAGTCATGGGCACGACTTATGATGTCTTCCTTCTCGAGGTCTTTTTCCGCTTCGCAAGACTCTAGGAAGTTGATGTAGTCTGTAGAATGGAACAGGCGAAGATCCTCGCGACTGGCCACCAGCGGATGAATGGTGCGCAAGGACTTGAGCAGATTGTAGCCCTTTAGAAGTCCGTGAACTAGAAGACAACGTTGACGAACGCGCGGTAACCTCTCGCACTCAAACAGGTGAGCTGCACTATGGACGTAGCCGACGCGAATGTTTCTTTCAGTCGCCGACACACGCATTTCAGGCACAGTGTCAGGAGAATCAGATACTAACTGTGGTGATATATCGCAAGCGACAATCGCTCCACTTGTGTGATTACTGTCTCTATCGTTGCCAAATATAGTAGAATACAAGTTTTCGTACATCCTGGAAGTTTAGTCTCTGGTTTAGTTACGCAACAATCACAAACATGTCACTAATCGCACCTTACTTGCGGCCAACACAGCGCGCTCAAACTTTGAACAGGATTGGATTGCTTTGCGTCGGCTTCAAAGTTTTTTTTTTTTTTTTCAAGTTTCAGTTTCGAGTGCCTACAGCAAGCGATGGCTTAACATGTGCTCTGAGAAAGTTTTTACCTACCTACCTGCACCCTGGCTTATTTTTTGTAGTAGAAACAGTCATGACGCTACGTGCGTTTTTATTATGTGGTATTCTAACTTGCGTTTTGCATGGCCTTCCAACTCGCGTTTTTCGACTACTGTGTGCGTTTTAATCTCGAAGGCCATGGAGCGGAAAAGAAATCTAAAGAGGAATAAAAACTTTTTTCTTCCTCCATGGGAGAGGCCCTCGCAATGCGAGCTGCAGTAGTGTATAGGTGTTCTGTGCTGCAGTGCTTTAGGCACTGCGCCGTGCTCCCGACCGGGTTGCAGAAATTAGGTGCCTTTTCTCATCTTCTAACCACTGCCACCAGTACTTTGCAGGGGGGTTATGGGAATAAGTGGGCACGCCGGCGACTCCTGTCGTCTGCATCACCCCTCGTGTGACCGCGTTGTTGATAGGCGGCTTGACTTCTGAATGTGCAGTTTTATGCAGCTGTCGCACTTCAAAGATGATGCAATGAGTTGGAAGCCTACAGTGAGCGTTGGTCTCCATGGTTGCGAATTTAGTTTATATCGCTTGAGGTCGTCTTCGAAGCTCGCGACCACTTCGAGAATGGCAGCCGCGTCTACGGTTCTCGGCGGTGAGCAGTTCTCGTGTTTGACGGTCACAACTATCGGAAATCAGTGTGCGCACTGTTCTCACTATAGCTTGCCGAGACAAGAATTAGGCGTGCCTGGTACAATAAGAGGATTTATTGTTTGAATTATCGCTCCATGTTTACGTTTTGCACGCAGTAACCTCATATCTTTGGCCAAGTTTTTTTTTTTTTTTTCGATATGGTCGCAGTCGGCCGACCCACGCTGCTGCGAACGGTACTCGGGCACACGTATCGTGACACACATGGCAAAGAATGATTCGTAGGTGCTTCACCCAACTAAATAGCAAGACAAATTAAATAACATTTCACTGTTATACATTAGGTTCCGTACCCCGAACTTTACACTGCTGCAGAAAAAAAAAAACTGCCTGTCATGGCGATTATCCTCGTGGTTCGCACCGTTGCTCTCTAGCATTCAGCGTATTAAACACGAAGTGAAAAGCTGCAAGTGGTCCCACCGCGGTGGTCTAGCGGCTGAGGTACTCGGCTGCATGCTGACCCACAGGTCGCGGGATCGCATCCCGGCTGTGGCGGCTTCATTTCCGATGGAGGCGGAAATGTTGTAGGCCCGTGTGCTCAGATTTGGGTGCACGTTAAAGAACCCCAGGCGGTCGAAATTTCCGGAGCCCTCTACTACGGCGTCTCTCATAATCATATCGTTGTTTTGAGGCGTTAAACCCCACAAATCAATCGTCAAAGCTGCAAGTGTATTGCAGATGAACAACATGAATTGTGAACGAGGCTGCGAATGACACACAGGCGCTATACAGCACGTTTGCTCATAATCAGCATAAAGGTTTCGTTTTTCCAGCTCGTCTATCAGATATGCAGCGGTGGTGCCGCCCGGCGCGTCCGAAATCGGCTCGCGCGGCTCTCCTTTCTCTCGCTGGCACCCGTTGAGCATGCGCGAGCCGCGGTGGCGTGCCCACCATTGCGAGCAGGAGTCCTCTACTCTTCCCTACTTACGGCTTCACAAAATGTGACGCAATGGCCCCTATATCCTCGGTTTATTCCACGGAGGAAGGAAAGTTTTTGCTTTTCCTTCCTCCGTGGTTTATTCCCTCCATTTCGAAGGCCATTTGTTTTTGACGTAGTGCAATGTCACTGCTCATCCTCAAAAAAAAGCCAATCGCACTGCGCATGAGAAAACGCCGCAGTTTATTTTGTTAAATTTATAGTTTTATTTATTTATTATTGTGTCCGGACTGTGAGAAGAGACGCCATCATAGAACATTCTCGATTGATTTTCGCCGCAAATCGAAGCTCACGAGCCTTTCAAAGCGAAGCTTCTTTGCTTCGTCCCTCAACTTTCTCGGGGCCACTCTCCAGTTGAAGCTGCACGCACAGGAATTCCGTGCTGGCTGCGCTTTATTGTTGAACAAACAACTTACGAAGGAAAGCCTCGCCCAAACAACAGAAACGCGACAGGGCGGTGCTCTCCGAAGGCGGGGTCAATGGCCGCTCGCCTCATGACGTCATTCTGTGGTGCACTCTCATTGGTGCAGGCTTGTGTGCATCCGCCTTTGAGGAGTAAATGCCGCAGACTTCGAAAGTTTGAACTGCAGCAAATACGTCGTAAGGAACAAAATTCCTTCATCAAAGCAAAACTATATATGCCTGCTTCCACGATGTTTGGTGTGGCAGTTAGGTTGTATTATAACCGAGGAAAGGGCACATTACTGTATACTTGTGTCAGCATTATAGATCTCAACTTCCCCTAAGCCAGTCGACCATAGTCACGAAATTTTGTCCCGGAAATGCTGAGACAGTGAAGCAAGTTTGAGAGGTGGGGAACTTGAATAAAATGCCAATGAACATCACGTCGCCGTTTGAAGGTATGCATTCACCGTAACTCACATATTGGTCACTTCTGAGTGGTATTTGACGTCAGTTTTCCGGCAACATACTGATGCTGATATCAACAGTAAAACTAAACGCCTATATATAAATATAGCTCATTTGTTCCATGGTGGTGTTTCAACAGATGGTCGTCGCATATGGTATATGCCTCACGAAAAAAAAAAGTGATTTATACCAGTCCCGCTTACCCTAAACCAGTCCCAATTACCCGTTAATTATCTTAATACGGGAGAAAACAATGTGAGTGCTATATAGCCAAGCCCCAAAACTTGTGATTTGGCTTCCGTGTAAATCCAAGTCCTTGTTAGGCCGCGTGTTTGGGACACCTTGGTCTACAGGGTCGGTCCAGCGTGTTCGGGTGCCCATATCAGAAGTAGTGTCACAGCAAGGTGAGAACATCCCGCACACAGTGAAATGCATCGAGGGGATTTACGCGTCTTGCTGTTTTGTGAACTCCGGCCTCCAAATGACGCAAATCAAAAAGTATGTGCACCGCGACCTCGAGTACCCTCAGATGCCACCGGGTGTGTCTTCGTGATATCTCATTCTTTCTGATGTAATCACTACTAAACGGGGAAATGTATCGCGGGGAAAATACTCTGTTTCTAATTTACTGAGTGATGTTTAGGACACTCGTGGTCAGGGTTGCCATTCGTTCCTACTTTGAGCCAAATTGGCTACTCACCGACCCTGTCTGGAGACAAAAATTTCAAGTTGACGCCACTTTCAAACTTCTACTTTGGCCCACTTACTGGCTCCCTCTTCGTATTGTTTGAATATATAAGGGAAATCCAATCTTCAAAAAATAACAATTGTTTGCAAGCTTTTGTGTCGTGTTGGTCCTTGCCCCGCCAGCGGGCTTGTGCGCATCAAGGCTACCAACATAGAGTTAATACACTGACTGTATATTAACTCTATGGCTCCCAATGAGTGTTCCTTCGTCGAAGGGACGCGTATACTTGTAAGGAAACACTTGGCTGTGCTGGCGTCAGATCCTCATGCTGGACCTGGACTGCTGTTCTTCGATAAGATTACTTAAAGCTTTACTGACATCATTTTAACCTTCTATAATCACCGGTTTATGGCTGCAGGAAAAAGGCAGCTTCAATGTTTGATTGATTTGTGGGGTTTAACGTCCCGAAACCACCATTTGATTATGAGAGACGCCGTTGTGGAGGACTCCGGAAATTTCGACCACCTGGGGTTCTTTAACGTGCACCCAAATCTGAGTACACGGGCCTACAACATTTCCGCCTCCATCGGAAATGCAGCCGCCGCAGCCGGGAATCGAACCCGCGACCTGCGGGTCAGCAGCCGAGTACAGCTTCAATGTTTGATGTTCCCGCTAAGTGTTCCCTAAGAATGCCTTTTACAAAAACTGTATCGTAGACAAATCGCATGCAGACGCACTGAAAGCATAATAGTGTATTTATTTATTTTCAACTTACCTGCACCTTGGAGACCAAGAAATGGGAGAAATATTGCACTCGTTATACTCCGTTTTTTGCTTGTTCAAAATCACATTATTTATTGCGGAATAATAACAACTAATGTCGCTTTTCTATATTTGCTGACAGATATGGCACTAAAATAAATGGCGTGGCTACTTTGGCTACTTTCAGTTTGAGTTTGAGCTCCTTTTCAAATCTGCTCAACGGAAATCGTGTTGGGGGTAGTAGTAACGAACAGAAAATATTCATGAATTGCTCAGGACTCCCATGTCACGCTGATTGTTTACGAAATTTACCCTCGCCAACCCCATTAAGGCAAAGACATTAATTAATTAATTAATTAATTCATTTGTGTGTGAAATCGTACAGATGATCGGCCTGATCGTGCCATCAACTGCAATAAATGCGGCCAGCTGAGGATATTCTGTATAACTTATACTCTATATAACTATATATTATATATTATGTTCTATATAACTTGCGCGAAGTAAATGAAGGGGTACCGTACCCATTTTATGAGGTCACAATCATCGGCCCCCCACTGTAACAGTGACACTTGCTTAGGACTTGCTTCGCAGTCTGCACTCAATCTCCCTTCAGCGCCTTCTTGTAAAAGGTTGAGTACCCGACCTTGATCGCTGGACTTTGGATCACCATGTTTTATTATGCACAAAATAAAAAAAGAAAGTCTTGCCTCTGGTGCACGAACAACTGCTTTTAATAATAATAATAATAATAATAATAATAATAATAATAATAATAATAATAATAATAATAATAATAATAATAATAATAATAATAATAATAATAATAATAATTATTTAATGTGGATGTTTTTATGTCTGCGATTTTTGTATAAATTATCCCGCTGCCATAGCAAACCTGAAAGCTTAATAATAATAAACACCATAAAAACATAAACAAATAAAGGC